AATGTGTTAACAAACTTATTTATTTATTTATATCAAATGGCAGGCGTCTTGATGGTTATCATTAGCTCTCTAGTTGACTTCAGGCTTCACAGAGAGGTGAAGGAACATCAAAGTGAAAGAAAGTCGAGAGGGGGTGGGGAGGGAACAGAAGAGTGTTTCAAAGATGTAAGAGACAAACACAAAGGTAGAACAAAGGTGAGGTGAGCACTGCGGAAATAGTCGAATATGGCATAGAGTGAGGTGATGGTAGTTTGAAGATTAGAAGTCAAATGCCAGTTAATAGACTTTTTTGCCGTATGAGAATACGTTGCCCAGGGTGCACCACGTGGAGGTAAGTCTATCGCACATCCCGTGTTAACAAACTAATACAAATTAATTCGTAGGTATTCCAGCAGCAATCAAATTAATTATGGATGTAAATCCTGACAGTTATTAAAATGGCATTGTTTTATGCAGTTGTTGTAACAAATCTTATAAATAGATTTTTTCATATTATTTCAGGTGACCTTCTACGTGTCAATTTGCATTCGAACGTCGACAACAGTCTCTTATTCTCCGTTCCTGTCCACGCCAGAATCGAAGCAGCCCGGCCCAGTCCTCTCAGGGAAGACGACGTTTCATCTCCAGAAATCTCTACGCCTCCCTCTGTTAGGGAGCCTCTTCCTCCATCTACACAATTAGAAGCTGGGCGTAAAATTTCTTCTACCCATACAGCCATCGAGACAACAAGGAGTCACATGGATAGATTTTGGCCTAACCCTAAAGGACTCGGTGGTTTATCTGACTATACAGATGAAGACGATAAAGATTCGATGGGAAGAGGTGCTGGAACACCCATGAATAATCTATTAGACCCCAGTGTGGGAAATACGGGATCTCAATGGAAAAAGGGTTGGAATCACCTTCCTGATACCTTTGATATCCACCAGGTAAGAGTGATGTTGTATGAAAAGCTTCTTCTTCTCTGCAAACTTTAAATTATATGGTGAAATAAAGAGATTTCAGAGCAAACGCTGATCAACTTTGTTACCAAAATTTTAGTATTTGAATTAAATAATTTCATTGAGAAAATTTTCTTCATCGTGTGTCAATTTCGTGTTAGAATTTTTTGTCATCATAATGTGAGACTTCACAAAAATATTATTTACAATAATGCTATTTCTTCCATTTTATTAATTCTTCTTAGTTAAACATGCTTTCCCAATTTCGTGTGACGATACAACTTGAAGTAGAATACGTATCGCTGTCTATACTAAGTAGGTTTGCTTGGTTGGGGAATAAAGTTGTAAAATATGGTAATGCAAAGTGAATGTATATCTCACGTTTTGTTAAGTTGGTTCCTATTTCGAGCAAAAAGAATTAACAAAGCTTTAGCCTCTTCCAGCTTGTGAACCCCACAAAGTCAGGGAACTGAAGTGACAAGAACTTGATTATTTTCCCTGAAACATAAAAGGAGCATTAGCTCTGAGCCTGCACAAAGGCTTAAATTGAATGAAAACGTGGGTGTTCAGGGGAGAAGTCAATTAGCAGCTTATAAGAGAAAAAATTTTACAAATGAGTTATTTAATGCAACATTCAAACTCAGGTAATAAAAAAGTACTTACATTTTAATTATTAAATTTTAAATATTTTTGCAGCATAAACCTACTAAGTTATTCTTGCTTATGTGCTTATTTGTTTCGTATCTTCTACTCCAATTTATTTATTTTATTTATTTGTTTATTTTATCATGATCAGCAATTTAGACGGAGGTAATGAAGATGTCAATTGGAAAATGTTTGGTTATGGAGCGAAGACTGAATTCAGAGATAGCCCTTTAAACAGTAAATCTAGAAATATTATATCTGATCGTAAATAATAGGTGAATATATATATATATTGAAACATATCGATAATGATGGTTTTAACTTAACGCTAGATATCAGGGGATGTGAATTTCTTATTTTAGTAGAGAGAAAATTTGCAGTACGTAAATTAATTAAATTGTTTGTTGGGGAATCAATGCGTTTCTTTGGACATAAAGAGCAATATTTTTATGCTTTTTAGTTTCTTCACGGTACATATTGCAAGTAGTCATTTACTTCCCACCTCCTTCGCCCAACACCAGATTCAAAACGAAATCAAATTTTGAATGCCTAAACTTCTTTTTCGCAGAGAATAGTTCAAATGCACAAAATTTGCCTAGTTATTGGAAAATGGCTGTGACCGATATTTGGTCCAAACTGTTCCTATTTTGGTGTGTTTTGTGGCCAACGTTGTTAATTCTTCGATTAAAAGGAAATTATTTCAATTTTTCTTCTTTAAATGGCAGATTTAACCTTCTCTTTCGTGATCTATCAATCAATTTATTGAAACTGCCAAATATTGTTTGGAGTGAAGGAGGGTGCAATGTGAAGAATTCATTCAATGGATATCATTTTAAATTTTTGCTTGGACGGATTCGACATCGAAAAGAAATGGGAATTATGTTGGAGGGCGCAAAAGACATCAGAAATCGGTTCATTTTACCAGAATGACTTATAACGATCTTAAAATAATCTGTGAACTCAATCCTAGTTATTTCGCCTTTTGACTTCTAACTTTTTCTACCCTATTTACGTTGCAAAAAAATCTCACAGTTAATACACCAATGTCTTTAATTTGATTGATATTAATTTAATAATTTTCATACTTGGGCTATTCTTGTCGAGTTTCATTAAACAGTAATTTTAGATCCAGTTCTCCGTTTATTTACACATTTATAAGCCTAAGCATTCTTTGACCAATAACCTTGTGATCGCTTTTGTTTCCCTCTGCATTGGCAAGTTTATTGCTATGTAGATTTATTTGAACAAATAGCATATGAAATTGAAAACATTATTGGGAAATGAATGTCAAAGGGGCACCTATATGCTATAAAATTTTTGTAGGCGAATTGACTAATCTATTTGACTTTCATTACTAATGTGTACTTGAATATGACGTCTTCTTAATAATTTAGAAGCCCTATGATCCGAAACATGCAGAGTTATTTGGATCTCAAGCTCTCAAGGATGCTCCTGGAGTCCGATCATCATCATCCTATCAGCGGCTCCTATACCCCGATTCGATTGATAAGTCAACTTTGATAAATAACCCTATGGATAAGGAGAATTTTGTTGACAGGCCGAATGCAGATAGTGGTCTCAACGAAGGGTCCACTAAATTAGCAGAAACTTCTATAGAAGCCAAGGACGGTATTGGCCTAAGTGCTAGTGGACATCGTCCAGCTCTCGAACTCATCATGTACATCCTCCTTGGCCTATTTATCCTTATCGCTTTGATCTTTGCTGTGAATTGTGGTGCTATGGTTGCGAGATATCGATGGGAGCACTCCCATGGAGCTAAAGAGAACTTGAGGCTACAACACCTCTCAGAACTAGCTATGAGTAATGTAAATACAGATTCAGCTGGGACAGGTGACTGTTCTAGCACCTCAACTGCTGATCTTCAACCCAAAGGCGTTCAAATTGACAATCCCGTATGTCAAAGAGTTTCTATGTAGATGATTTTATTTAAGTGGAGTGCGCGGGTTATGAATTTCTGTGTGTCTCTTTTAGGATGGAAATAAAACTGGGACATATAAACGCTGTATCAGCGCATTCGCTACATTTCGACGTAAATTTGGCCCAAGGGTGCGTATGTTGCTGAAACCATGCTCGTTAATATTACAATTTTTCCATTAAGACATGCAAACACAGATAGAATTTCGTATTCCTTGAACGCAAGTCATCTAACTGGTAAATAGGTAACTTAATATTAGATTTATGAAAACTTTCTCCAGGTATACGTGATAGGCACTAGTTTTTCTTCTAGTAAATATTAACGACAATTGATGTTAATTGAATAGAAATTGAAAATAAATTGACCAAATTCTCTGCCTCAAGATCTGCACACACAAAGGTGGTTTTGTCTTCTCCATATGGATATCAGTTAGGTGTTCCAAGTACTACAGTGTAACTGCATGAAATTCACTTCATTTTGTTTTTCGAACCTAAAATTGTAGCTTTTAGTAAATAAAATAAATAGCTAAGTAAAAGACATTTACTCTGATTAAATTTTTTAATAATATTTATTTGTTTATAGTGAAATTTATAACTCAATCATAATAGTCGAATTTGAAGTTGGAGTCTTAAATGAGGAAGCGATTAAAATGGCTTCATTCTTCTAAGCTTTAAATACTTTGGAAAAAAAATTGAAAGTGGCTTTTTGATAAAATCAATCAAAGTTTTTAGAAGTGTCTTATCCAAATCTCTAGCTTTAAAATCTTCCCAATATACCTAACAGTGACATTATAGTAATTAAAATTATTATTTGAAAATTGCTCGCTCAGTATATTATTATTTCAGATGGAAAGGCTTTATGATATTTATCATTAGCCCCTTAGTTGACTTCGGCTTTCACAGAGGGGAAGGAACATCAAAGTGAGAAAAATTCGAGAGGAGAAACATGAAAGTGATACAAGGATGAAAAAGGGATGGACAGACACAAAGGCTCAGTATATAAAGTCCCCTCCATGGAAATCGTCTTGCCCTTTGAACTTTCGGAAGAGAGTGCTGTTGTTCACGACTTCGTTTCTCTCGCTTTCTTATAAAATTTAGAATTTTAAGTAGAAACTGTCGAAATTCAGTCATTACCATCACTCACTAAAAATCAAAATCAATGAATCAAAACAGAGATAAACAATATTCCATAAACACGCATTTAAGGCAAAGAATTTGACATTTCTGAAGTACTATTGAAAAAAACAAGCGTTTGGAAGCCAATAGATTTGAATGCTATTTGCCATAATATTGATGGTGAAAGTGCCAGAATAATCAGAAATCCTATATCCTTGAGGAAAACCTGTAAATAAGACAAATTTTTCAATTATCTAAACTACTTAAATAGCCGATGAAAAGGGTTGGTTGCTTAAAATTCGAAAATCACGCGTTTTTATTTCCATGTTAAGGAAGTAAATAAGTCATTAGAAATCGAGCGTCTTTGAAGGTACTAATACCAGCCTCCTTTCAAATTGTATGAACTTGTAGCGGATTACTACGCTAGTAAAGCCTGACTAACTCAGAAATCTCTTTGGCAGATTCTCCAACATCTAGCTAGACTCCCAGAACCAGCTAAGTTATATCCCAGCTATGGAGGAAACAGACGTGTAGCACGGAGCACGTTTACTCAGTACGAGTATTACGGATAAAGTGTACGCGCAGGAAGCTTAATCATGATCAGGATGGCGGATTGCAAACAGAGGTTAATGATTGGTCACTGTTTGTACAGTCGCACCTCCCAATCCTGGCGTGCAAGCATGCGATGACGTGTCCCACAAACTCAACTGCCACAAGACCGGAGTGAGATTTAGTTGATGGGTATTTTATTTGCAAAGAGCAGAGATGCGGATAGCAATCTCTAATCCCTTAGCTGAAAATAGCATTAAGTGGAGAGATAGAACTCATAGCATAGGTGCTAGATAAATGAGAAAATCAATCAAGGCTGAGAATGTATTGAATACAACCATTCATAGAAGTGGTAAAATTGGACCAAATGATCCGGAAGGAATTCGCGTTAACAAATCACCTGCAAATTAAATGAAAATCATTAATAAAAGTACTTGTCAAATTTTTAAAGGTAAATTAAAAGATTATCAGTTGTCAAATGCTAAATCTTGGCTGTTGAAATTAAAACTAATTTTGAACCATTTCGTTTGCTTTTAAACTTATTGTTCTAAAGATGGTCAAACTTGTCAATGTCATGTAAATATTTTATGTTTCGTGTATTTTGAATGGTAATAACATGCTTTCATTTTTTGCCCATCCTTATGGCTCAATAAGACTAAGGAAACTACAACTTACTTTGAAACGAATCGCAGATGATAGACAATCTTTTTCGACTTAAGATAGGGAACAGTTAATTTTATTAACAGGTATCTCCAAGCCTGTGATACCATCCTTTCAATTTGCATTCGGAATTGAAATTCTCTCATAAACGCATTGTGTCAAAAGTCGAATTAATTTGATTGTAAAATAGATTTTAAAATAGAACTTGGTTTCGTAAGTAGTGATCACATCTTTATTTTCAAAAATTATTTTGTGACTATAAAACTATTTTTACTTGCGGATCAAAAATGCATAATATGGACACTACTTCATTCTTGAAAAGTTATAACTTACTCAATGAGCACGTGGGTCATAATTGCATGATGAGACTTCATTATGAAATCCTCTTTGGCATCTTATATCGCTGGTAAAGTTTATTGGTGGATGCATTACTTTACATTTCAGAGTTTATCCCAACAACGGATAAATCGAGATAGCGACTGGATTTGGCTCGGTCGTGATGCCTTGGCGGAGAGCCAGCACGATGCGGCAGGTATGAATCAATTGGAATCCCGCTTGCTCACATCTGCCACATCCATTGATATGTCAAAGAATCAGAGTTTAACGAGGTCACCTCTCACACCAACCGTCGTTCCCTCACCGGAATTTGGCACTAAATCTCACCTGAATGCCGTATCAACACCTCAGCAACCGAAGATGTCATTGACTGGCAACTATCATGACAGTAACAATCGAAAGACAACATCGCAGAAAAACACTCTATCTACCTGTGCAACCTGCCATTATGAGGTAGCATACGCAAAATCTAAATCACTACTTAATTCCCTTCCAGTAGCTTGTTATTTAATAATATTACCTTTATTAATCTAGGGTGATGAATGCAGTATTCGAATTCTAACCATTACTATGGAACCAGAGAATTCAAACAGTTCTGCATCTAGGTGTTGCGTTGCGAGTGATATGAATTCTTCTCAACACCTGCATCTGCCAAGTACTGTGAATTACCAGCAAAGTCAACTCTATCGAAATCGCCATTCGAGGTATTCTTCATCAAACTGTCACAACCACCAGATTCAGGATCAACGGCGTCGATCTGCGTTTGTGTTTGGCCAGTCCTTCATCCTCGACCAACAGAATCCTGAATGGCAGTTTTCCGGTGAAATCGGAGATCTTCATCGTTTTCAAAGTCAACGATGCCGTTGCAACCGTGGTCTCGCCTCACCTTGGAGGTATCGAGGTGATCGTCATGATGACTCCAACAGAACTGTTGATAATGATCCTGAGGCGATTCTTTCAATGCTGAATGTTGAAGGTTACCAGACGCTACCCAGTCCAATGCCTGTATGGCAAGACGGAGCCAACTCCGTAACTCCGCCCTGTCCCCCACTTAGAACTTCATCAAAATTGAAACCTCCAATGCTCTTGTCTTACTACGGAAAGCAAGAAACTTCTCCAAGTTCTGTGAGACCCACTAGTTTCCCTAATGTAAGTTTCTTAAAAGTGCAAATATTTAATTTCATAATTTAAGTGCGATTTTACTTTCTCCACAGAAGAAATCGCAACAAATGGAATCATTGCTAACCACATCAGTAACAAATGAGATCTACTCTCTTCTTCCCGATAACGAAGAGGATGCTACTCTGACGCGTAAAGCCTCCGCCAGGTCCTACTGTCCGGTGAATCCAAATGCCTCTAATCAAACTTACACCAATAATAAAAGCACAATAATTGATCTACCTCGTCGAACACGCAGTTATAGCCGAATTTACAATTTCGAACAGACTGCCATAGCACCAATGGATAATACGATCAAAGCAACACCTAGATTGCGCCGATGTTCTACTCGTGGCCCTCTTGAACCACAATCGATTTCCGGTGATAATTATCACCATCGGAGTATCTATGCTAACTGTTTAGCTCTACCTGTTCCAACTGCAAATGAAGAAGTTCAATTGACGATGTCAGAATCACTTAGCTAATGAGATATACTCCAGTGATTTTCGATCCCTTTTACCCACTCTGTGATAGTGTGATAAAGTGCGCCACATCTCTTGCCTGATGCCGCAGATCCACTTTCCCAACATCACTTCTGTACTACTAACACGTTGTACTAGTGAAAGCATTTCTTTCGATAACTTGACACGTTTTTTCCTCTTTGAGTGAGTGCTTAAGAAACAAGTCACTTCCTTCCTTTCCCGATCTTTCCCAAAAAAATCTATGTATTTCACGAACTTCTCAGCCGATCAGAGATGATAAGAAAATTTATTGACAATTGAATCGATCCCTGAGACCACGCAAACTTTTGCCTTCGCGTCTGTACACATTGCCATTTATGTAGTCTGCGTACACTTTTTCCCCTATTGTAATTCGAAAAGACAGAATAGAATAGTAATGCTTAAATAAGAACAATTTTGCTCCATGGAAGGTTAACGAAATACGGAAGAGTGTTTTGATACAGTGAACACATATTCAATGCTACATTGGCAAGCAGTATTTTAAATTCCTGTCTACGAGATATTCAATGCAATAAGATAGGATGTGATGTGTGGGTGTATAGAACCTTTGGACTTACTAAGAGAAGTCGAGATGCACTTAAAAGACAATTATATATATTTCCTAAAGTAATCCTCATTTTAAATCCCAAAAGACTCAAAATATCATACAAAATACAGATTCAGTGTTCAGTAAACCTCTCGACATCATAAAAGGAACGCTATACTTGAAACGATATTAAAATTTTACTTTGAGACGCAAAGCCAGTAACAAAGGAATGTGAGAACAAACCATGCTCTTTATTAGCAGGAGATTTTCGTAATAACTATCAATGAAATAAACTTGATGAAATTCGGGTTATATCTACATTATCTTCGTTTCAAATAAAGGCTTATCATTGATTATTTAAAATTTTAAACTTTATTAAATAAAAAAATCTTTCTGAAACGAGTTTGGAAATAAAAATAAAAAATGAACCGAAACGATGTACCAAATAGTAATATTTAATCAGTCATAATTATTAGTTTCAAGGCTAAATTTGTCATGACTTTGGTGAGGGGCCATTTATTGCAAGATGCGAACATTTTGTTCAGAAATACTCTCGCGGGCAAGATTTGTAATAAATCTGATTTCTGGTCGTTCAGCTCCAGGTTAGGCCCTTTTGATTTTATTGTTTTAGAGCTATGTCTTGTCGGTCCTCAGGTTGCCCCTATCGCAGCAAAGCTACCAGATATACTTAATAAAATCAATGAGTTTATTTATTTCGCTGTTCCTAAGAAAAGACATTCTATTGAAAGACGAAGAATGCGAAAATTCCTTTCTTGTAAGAGCAAATTATAAGCTACTTTTTATACCCTCAGTTACAATGGACAAGTATAAGTTGAGAAATGACCTTACCGCCTGTCAGCATTGCGGTAGTTGGCATCCCCGACATTCCATTTGTGGTAATTTACGTTTTTAGGATTTTAATCCAATGGATATTTTATAATTTACTTTGGTGAATTTTTATCTTTTTATAGTTAATTGCTATGACGAAGTGCGTCGCGAAACAAATGTTTTACGTGCTAGCCTCAATTCTCTGAATGGTGGCCTTTCTACTGACCAGGAGACTCAATTTCTCTACGACCAGGAATTTTCTGGAAAAGCTGGAACATTTTCTCATCAAATCGATAAAAGGAAAAGGCCATCATGGTTCCCCGCCTGTCTTCTCGGTCTTCCATCCACAGAACCTTCAAAAAAGTAGATTAGTAGTGCATTTGGATTATCTTGTACAAATTCTGGCCAGTTTGGTTTACCTGACATTGAGTTTTTGAATAATAAAAGTCTACTTTTGTTATCATATTTGCTTATTAACTAATTCAATCTAAATATTTGCGTTTTTGTGTGGCCTTCGAAATATAAGACCGTCAAGTCGATGTCTACGGTGTTTATGACAACTGCCCCCTTTTGGAGATAATTTCCCTTTTATTATTTGCTCAAGACGTTTGCCCTCGGAAATCAATTATTTTTCTTTATATGGATAAGCAAAGTGCATGGGCTAATTGTCTAATGAGAGCTAACAAAATATCGAATTCATATTTTATTATATTTCAAATTATGATTAAATTTCAACTTCCACTTTTATCAGCTTCGGTCTTAATTTTTTGCAGTAAATACCTAACTTCTCTTATCCGTTTGAAAACCCTTTACTATATTCCAGACTTATCCCAGAAAACTAGCAGTGTGGGGCCTACTTTGAAATTGCGTTGAATTTCGCAACAGTCTAACTTTAGGGACACTTGCAAATATCTCTCAAGTTATGGGGTCAATGGCTTACGTTCTAAGTCCTCCGATGTTTAGAAAATAACCTAAGTAAAACTGTGATTGTTGCTTTTCAGCCGTGGCTTTTGTTAAGCTGTCTGTACGCTTCATTAGTTGAATTTTCGATAATAATGCTTCCTGCGCTACTTTTCAAAATCAGCAACCATCGTGTGGAACTATTGGTCTTAATTTAAAACTCGTAATTCAGTAAAGACACATTCGCTAGGGACTAGTTTTGTGGGGCGGACCTAAAAGGCTGCTCTGTTAAAGCAACTTTCTTTTTATTCTTTAAACAGCTTTCTATCATGGTGGACCGTATTTTCTTATTTAAAGCGTTACTTATTGGTCAATTGACGAAGGTGAAATCTAAATGGGATTGAATACTCAAAAATGGTTCTCACGTCCTTCTATGACCGAATATACAGCCATTGTACTCTGTAGTGTTATACAAAGTCCTCAATCTGGAACAAATAATAAGACTACTCACCTAGTATTTCCATAAATAGCTCATCATCGCGAAGTGATATATCACATATAACAAATGTCTTGGTGACTATTGTTATTCGCTTAAACTTTAGAAAATGGCCCAAGGGTTTGGGCCCACTTTCTGCTATCAATAAATTAGGTTTCTTCTCGCCTAGGAATAATCCCAAAATCTGATTGAACCCGAGGTCAAATGATAAGAACAATGCGTCTCATGTCCTCGTGGACGACGCAAGAGATAAAGAATGCAACGCATTTCTAGTGAGTGACATGACAAGTCGAATTTGTTAAGTATATCCATAAAGAAAGGTACCAAAATGAATGTTTCTAAGCAGAGGGCTTATTCTGAGTTTAGAATTCTAATTTTCACTGTAGTGCTTAAATGGTTGATGGGTGGAATTAAAATGCACGGGAACATTGAAGCCATGCAAAACTGATGCAAGCTTATAGTCCAGTCAAGACTTTATATACGGCCATAAAAGTGTTCTGCTTTGGACAAGTCACGCGTCTTGAATAAACCGTTATAACCGTTATAAAGGTTCTACTGCAGCCACATGCCGGGTCCTTGGGGTAAATTTGATAGTCATACCTGAGAAATCAAGTGATTGGCAAAATTTATTTATATCAAATGGCGGGCTTAATGATACTTATCATTTACGCTTTAGCTGACTTCGGGCTTCACAGAGGGGAGGAGGAACATCAAAGTGAGAAAAAGTGGAGAGGGGGGGGGGGCAGAAGAGTGTTTCAAAGATGTAAAAGAGAAAAGGAAGGTTAAGTATGGGGAAGTGATCGAATAAGACATACAGTGGGATCATGGTAGTTTGAAGTCAGAAGTCAACTGCGGGTTTATAGACTTTTTTGCCGTATGAGAATGCGTTGCCCAGGGTGCACCACGTGGAGGTAAGTCTATCGCACACCCCGCGATTGTCAAAATAAAAATGAAATTTGATAAAATGAGTCGAAAAAGCCGCCATTGCGTCTGTTACACTCTTAATCCGAAAACTGGAGCAAGCATATTTGAGATTTATCCTAGCAAGGCTGTCAAAACTGAATGTCAATCAATTGGTTGGCTTTTGGAGTACTGACGCAGCCACTTTTGGGTGAGTTCGGGGGAAAAAGATTAGCGGTTGCGTGTAGAAAGTTGCCTCACAGCCATTTTGACAAGTGACGAATTTCACTGACCCTCCTCATACGTATCATTCATCATATGCTCTCCTCATTCATTGTACTCATTACCAAGTGGGGGGGGGGGGAACATATATAGCTATTCATTAGTAGCAGTTAATTAATTATCTTCCGGCTCCCCAGTATCTCTGGGTTTCCATCGTTATCTTTAGGGCTGGACACCGAATCAGGTGGGACTTCTCCATTTCCTCCTGTAGGTCACATAGGGGCATGCTGGTTGGTGTATACTCCTAATCTGTGAAAATGTTTTGCCATGCAGTCGTGTCCGGTGCGTAGTCTAAACTCAGCAACGGCTTCGATTCTTGGCCAGTCGACTATATCGGAGAGTGCCACTGTCCATTGTTTCTCCTTTGTTCGAGCTTTAAGTTCGTTGCACCTTGAGGTATGGAATTCTCTCTTGATTAAAGCCTTCACTGTGTGCAAAGACATCGGCCGGTCTCTGCCTTGCAAAATTGTAGTCCCCTTCTTAGCAAGTGCGTCAGCAAGCTCATTGTCTTTAATGCCACAGTGACCAGGAATCCATTGTAGAAACACTGTTTTTTTCCTCTCAGCAGCTGATTGAGATTTTTACATTAGTATATCTCAGCTGTTTTGGGTGGCTCTCTGCTTCCAATTGAGTCCTCAGCTGTTTTGGGTGTCTCTCTGTTTCCAATAGAGCCTTAGCTGTTTTGGGTGGCTCTCTGCTTCCAATTGAGTTTATTCCTCCAGCAGCTCATAGAGTTTTCTACATTCCTTTATCTCAGCTGAGGCTCTCTGCTTCCAATTGAGTTTATTGCTGACTGTGAGTGCGGAAGAATTATTACTTTGGTGAATTTCGTATCAAGGCAACATTTTTGTCTTAGTGCTATCCAAATGGCCTCTATTTCTCAATCGAAAGTGGATCTATTGTGTCCCGCTGGTGCGTAGAAAGAGAAGAGTTCAGAATAGACACCTGCACCAACGTTTGCTTGGTTTTCTATGTATGACCCATCAGTGAAGACTTGGAGCCATTGATCTGCAGGATAGTTGACATTGATTGTCTCAAGGGCCAGTGAGCGCATTTGTTCTGGAGGGGTGTTTGATTTCCTGAAGAAATCAAGCAGTTGGGTGCAACACATTACATCAGTGTCTGCTAATGGGTTCATGGGTAGAGAGAGGATTTTTGGTTTGTCATCGATTTGTAATTCTTTCTTCAGTTCTATGGCTTTATGTATTAGACCAGATTGCGTTTTCACATGTCTTGGTCTATTCTCATAGGTGCTGAAGAACTTGTCCATGGGAATGCGCAGTAGCTTCGTCTCAGACTGCTTAATCTTCCTGTAAATTAATCTTTAAATTATTCATGATTTCTATATTTATGGTTATACAAATTTTAAATGGTGTGATATTATTGACTCAGATTTTCTTTGGTAATGAATTCATTCAAAGATTTATTTCACACTTGGTGTTTACGCTATTGACATATTTGAGGTGCAAAAATCTATTTTAATTTTTTTCTGCTTTCTCTAAGGGGTTTGTCTGAAAAGTAGGCTTTATTTTGAACTTACTTTTAATGGGTGAAGCCTTTATGGGTTATATTCTACCATGAAATCAACTGTCATATTGATCTGCTAATATGCAAAATTTTACCCATTTTCGGTATACTGTTTGTGGGTTTTCTAATAGTGGTACTACTTTGTTTCGTATATTTTCCGTTCATATCTTATTGAGATTTTTAATATTAGGCTTCACAATTTTACTCCTATTTTATTTATCTAAGAGTGGTAGCAATAAACCTCTCTTTTCTAATTCTTCTTTCTCTGACTTCTTTCCTATTTTAGAATAAAGGATTTTAAGAGCTTCACATTTTTATTTCTAGTATTTATGATATCATTCAGTAGTCTGGATGCATTATTTGATATTGAAGCATGTATAAAGGGCAGACTCAATGAATACACCATTGCCTATAAAGATTGAGTGCTACTTTTCAACCACCTCTGCTATTTTACGTGGAATTAACTCTAAGGTGGGTGGATTAGCCTCAAGAGCTTCTTTTTTTATTTTTACAAGCACCAGCTTTTAACAATTCCAGTAGTTACATGGTAAGTCGTCAATTAGTATTTTATTAATAGGGTCAGTATATACTGTTCTTTTCCATGTTTATGAGATTTTGTTTGCCAGGTTTTAATGTTTTTATTGAGGTCATTTTGATTGCTATACTACATTTGTTAAATGCCAACTATTTATTCTTCTTATTTATGGAGATTTTATTAAGATTGTTTCTATCCATAAGTCTATTGGAAAATTTCTATGTATTACTGCTAGCATTGTGTTTATTATGCGGCCTTCTTTTTTGACATGATTTTTATTGTACTAATTATTATTTCAACTGTCGAAATAAATGTTGCATTAGTTACATAAACTCTAGTTGGAAAATGTTTAAGTTCTATATTATGAATTTCTACTTAATTTTATTAGTAACATTATTAGATTTGTGGGGACATGTCATCGCTTAACGCGACTTCTCATGCATGCACGCCAGGATCGGGAGGTGCGACCGTACAACTCTCTGTGCAGACAACCGCCCAACAAGTAGGAGAATCTACCAAAGAGATTTCTGAGTCAGTGAGGCTTTACTAGTGTAGCAATCCTCTATAAATTGGTGACCCTGGCGTGATTTGCTCATTCAAAGCATATTGCCTCACTCGGGAGAGGAGTGCTGCCTGGTCAATTGGCAGTAAGAGGGCGCCAAGGTCTTCGTTAGTGGCTACTATGACTGGCATTCTTGCAAGGAACCGCCCTGCTCCATACTTCACATCAACCTCAAACCTGTCTCCTCCAAGGAGACACTAACAATCGTTCTTTGCCGCCGTCGTAACTCTTGGTTCTTCCATCAGCGCAACTGTGCGACTGAGCAAGTTGTCGAAACGAAAGGCTGTCTGATCACCACGACGACACACCGTTCCAATCAAAAGATGCGAGGTTATGAGACTGGCTAGTAGTGCTTCACCAGTGTTGGTCTGGCCTCGGAATCACAGTGTATTGGTTTTGTTTGTTTTCTTTTGTCCATGATTTGTACAATGTCGCCTAGAAGGGAGCCAATATCAACGATATTTGCATTGAGCATCGCTATCAACTAGCTAGCACCCAACCCAATATCTTCACGATGCTTCACATAGCATAATGTAGCAATTCACTGAGGTTTCGCAAGTAGGCATTAGTCTTCTCCTTTGCCAATCGCTCATTATTCAATGCCCGTATCTGCTGCCTAGCAACTTTACCCCATTGAACACCGATTGATGAATTCATGAAGGTGGTTTCGTAAGCATTGAATTTATGAGAAACCTCGTCAAGGGTTCTTACATTGCGAATGCGTAGTTCTTCCAGGAGATTGAAGTACTTCTGCATTCTATGCTCCCCCTTCCACTTTCTTGAGGTTCGAATTCGTTCACGCCTATTGTCCGGCGAACATGACGAAGTCCACTCTCCAACTCCGACAATCCCGTCTCAGCAGTTCCAATACCTGTCCCACCTCTACCCAAAACTCTGTTACACTAAGGCCGAAGGTCTATCTTCCCCTCTCAACTGGTTGATATTATACATTAACCTTTATTTTCAGCTAACTACAAACGCTCTGGAGGGGCGGGGAGCATTGTGGGACACGTCATCGCATGCATGCACGCCAGGATCGGGAGGTGCGGCCATACAACTCTCTGTGCAGATAACCGCACAACAAGTGGCCGATCAGAAGCCTCTGTCTGTTAAACCTAATCCGCCATGCTGATTATGATTGAGCTCTCTGAGTGTACATTATACCCACTTTATACTTACTGAATAAACTTGTTCCGCGCTATGGGTCTACTTCCTCTATAGGTGGGCTATAGCTTAGCTGGTTCTGGGACTCTAGCTAGATATAGGAGACTCTGAGGCTAGTGAGGCTTTACTAGTGCAGCAATCCGCTACAGGTCACTGTACAAATTGTTCTTTTATTAATATATTGAGCTATAATTCTCGCGTATTTGTATCTATAATTTTTGTTTTGTACATATATTGCAATTTTAGCTTAAATAGAATCCTAGTTTGCCTTTTTCTAGTTGCTGCTAATGGGAATTTTTGTTTCATATCTGGTTTATTTTTTTTTATCGAGTTTTTTTTATTTCAGCTTTTTGAACGTAAAATTCAATAAGTATAATGGAATATTTTTGCTTGCAAATGCATTGTTATTTGTAAATTTTCATAATGTGGTTGTTTGCGTTTTTAATGTGAGCTCGGACAACTTTACGCTATGAATATTTTTTACCCATAACTAATAATAATACTAATAATGTTCCTACATGGATTATAGGGCAAATCATGGTGTTTTTAACTGCATAAGAATTATGACTTTGGGAGTCATTGGTTTCTGTGAAATGAGAAGTTTGACCAATAGGGCTGCTTTAGCAGGTTATCGCTTTGTGCGTCATCGCATGTCCGCATGTCTGCTCGCCAGGATTGGGAGGTGCGGCCGTACAACACTTTGTACAGCGACATACAAACAGTGACCAATCATTAACCTCTGCTTGTTTAAACCTAATCCTCCATGTTAATAAAGATAAAGATTCCGTCCTATGCTCATAACCGGCGTGTCACATCCCGAATAAACGTATTCCTCAACATATGCCTCTTTGTGATAGCTTAGCTAGTTTGGGAAGCCTAATCTGTCATAGAGATTACGGAGTATAATCTAGGCTTATTGGTGCAGCAATCCGCTACAGGTTACTTTGATTTAGTAAGTAGTAGTATCTAAATTTAAGAGTTGGGTTCTTACGATTTTTGATTGTAATTTTACATCGATTATTATTTTTGCGTGTTTATTTACAGTAATTTATTTTTACTGGAAGTTTATTTAAATGGAGAAGCGTATAAAGATTATCATGATCTAGGTCATATAAGTGTGGATTTTGACCTAGTTCCTTAAGGTTTGAATGCTCAAGATTTACTTGCTTTTCTTTACTAGTTTTTTGTGTTATAATTTTAAATATGCCTGAGCAAGGGATGTTAAATATGAACTCTTTCTTAGTTGTAAGATTTCTATTAGAGTTTTTAATGGGCTATGTTCGTTGAGCTTATAAAGTTGAAAAAATTTATAATACTAATTCCAATACTGGAATTTCTTGTAAGTTCACTTCTGTGGTCATTTGGTTCCAAAATAGCTTCACGATATGGGATTTTTCCTTTAAACCGGAAAGCCCATATAATTCTGTTAGTTTATAGCTAACTTTCGTAAAAATAAATAAGAATAAATTAATTTAGACTGAATATTTTCAGAGTATTTAGAGATTGTTAGATCATCTCATGATAATGAACGCGTCTAGCATATATCCTTGAATTTTAACGTTAGATCATCATTAGGTAAACGAGCTGGTTTTAAAATCTTAAGATCTAGTTTAATGACTCGAATGACATTTTTCGATCCTTATCATAAATTTACTCTATTAGATTGTCATTATTTTATAGTTGCTAATCATGATATAATAATTATTTTCTTCTTTTTTGATGCCTATTTTAAAAGATGGCTATTAAATTATTTTCCACTTCTATTGGGTAGTATATCCGACCTTGATTTACCTCCTTTAAACGCTTGATTATTGATTCCTTTTATAGCTTTTTTTCGATTATTAGAAGGAGGTTGGGTGCTGGAGTTGAATAAACATTTCTCATATACCATATATCCATGCTATAATCGTCATTCATTCATCTTCAGTTTCATTAAGCAACAGAAGATGAACAAAAATTTGCAACGTGGAAGAGCATTCGAAAACAAAGAACAGTGAGACAGTATGGTATGGGTCGGGAGAAGTGAAGAGACGGAGAGGAGAAGGCGTCTCACCGAATGTGGTCATTGGATTAAGGTGTAGTCAAAGGACTCCTACTTTAGAGCTCTCAATCACCGGATTGGAGGATTTGCCGCCCATCGTAGTGGCCTTCTTAGCCTCAGCTGCGCTGCCTGCACATAGGAAATTGATGAATGGTCAGCCAGACAATGAACTTTTCGACAAGTGAGCAAATTCCACCAGGCGGCACCCACTTTCCCCATGGCGGCCAACGATGGTTGAAACATCACGCAACAGAATGCCATCTTCAATGTTGATGTGGAGGCGTTCCGCGCCAATCTCCTTCCAAAAGATCAATCAGATATGCACTAGCACATGCATCCACTCCTCACAGTAGTCATCATTTCAGCCACACCTCTATAATGCATGACATTCATCAGACCTTGCCAAAATCCTCAATCACTTCTATTTTCTAACTAACATATATATTCATGCAGTAAAATGAACACATTCTACCTATGAATGAGATAGTAAGATGGAGGAGTCATTATTCAAAAAAAATAATATAATAATAATAATAATAAGAAGAAGAAGAAGACAACGACGACGACGACGAAGAAGAATAATAAAAGGAATATGATAACATTTTTGGCTATTTCAATTATTGGCAGCGATATGCTATTAGTACAGATTAATAAACGCGCGCGCGCACACACACCCGCACGTTCGCGCTCGAGTAAATTGTCCTAATTGATGATCGATACTTCCATGGATTTTTTCGCTGTCAACAAAAAAACTGCTGCAAATTTTCACTTTCGCTAAAGTTTTGCAATGGGCAACTGTCTACCGACCACGCATCGTTTCTTCCCACTTACTCGACGTAGGCGGGTCAGAAAAGAAGAGACTACAAATAACACACGCGATGAAGAGATAGAGCAAGTGACGAATAGAATAGACCGAGTGACTACGAATGAGAATCCAATGGAGGAGGAGGTAGAAGCGGAGATTGAGGGTAGGGAAGACACCGACACCGACACCGATAGCAATAGCGAATGCTCCTCTAGCTTGAGGGAATTCCTTATGCTCGAAAGGCTGTGTGAAGAGTATGAAGACTTGGAAGAGATAAAGAGTAAAATAGAAGAGGAAAACGCGAGTGAGAAGGCAGAACAGAAGGCTATGCAGAAGAAAGTAGAAGATGAGATTGAGAGTAGAGAATATGAATATGAACACGAATATGAAGATATCGAGTGCTCATCTAGTTTAAGGGAATTTCTGATGCTTGAAAGACTCTGTGAGGAGTATGAAGAGGNAATCATTATTAGAGACATATATTCCTGCTATATGCTTATGCTCCTCTGGCCCCTTCCCCTAAGCAGCTTCACTCTCAAATAGCATACATTCTTCCTGCTGCCACAATTATTCCCATTCCTCCACCAATCTTCCACTCATAGGTAGCATTTTGGTGGCCTATACTCTGATAGTAGTAGTACTACTAGCACCCACTAGGATGGACTTACAAGAGAAGAGGATAGAGGCTTCTAAGCGCCCTCTTCTAGGCGCTAAGCTAGGACACACGCATGAGTTAGGTGCCATGTGTGGGCAATGATGGTCATAGGAGTGTAGAGGCTATAAGACCACAGCAACAAAAGGGCGCTTGCTGTGCGTGGGGGGTGGAGGTACGAGTAGGCACGAGCGTGCTTCAAGTGCGTGCCCAACTTCTTCACCTGGGCAGTGCCTGCGCCTCCTTACCCAGGAAACTCCAACCCTCACCTCCACGTGGTCCTGGGTGGTAACGTCAGCCTCCTGTATTCACGCCGCCTTCTCAATTCACTCCTACCAACAGGAGTAGGCAAGAGACCCGCGGTGGTGGCCAGGAGACTGACGGCGAACGAGGGCTCTGGGCAGAATTTGCTAGCCAACCAACCATCCAGCCAACCGATCAGCCAACTTTGTTACAAGTAGGAAGTCGCGAGATAAATGCCCAGTGATGATGCACATCCAGTTTCCATAAGGATGCCTCCTTCCCTTCATTAAACTATGGAGTTAATAACATTTCTCCTAATATTCTACAGGCCAAAAAAATTGTGAAGTTCATCCATGCACACTCTATGAAACCAATGACCACAATAGCACCAATTAACCATAATCAGTTAAAAAAAGTTGCTTTACAATCCGAGTTTTAGCAAAAAACTGCTGCACAGTAAATCCTCAAGTGTTGTGAACAATTCACTTAAAAGATTCTTCCCATCAAAACATTGAATATGCATTTTGAATTTCAAATTCATACCCCAAAGGCGATCGCAACATTTACGAGACATTAGGAAAGTGCACGAAATGGTGTTGACAACACATACTGGTGCATTTGTGCGTGTTAAGGAGACTACCGCAGGTTAGTCCCCTTCGTGTCGCAGCTGGAAACAGGGCGAATGAGAATGAGGAAGTGGACTACAATCGGCGGGAAATCGATACGGGTACAAACGCATCGGCCGACAGTGCGAATAAATCGATGTATAAATCAGTGCGAAATAGGTTAGAAAATTATGGGCCAAAATGAAAATGTAACGAGCGAGAATTCGCACCGAAACGAAGCATTTAGGAAAGAATTACTCACGTGAACTAAAAAGCGCCCGACAATAGACATTTACACTGATTTTCCTCATCAAAATCACAAAACAGATAACGCCAAGTACCACCTTACGTGGAAATGAAATGAGCGTAGATTGTCTGAGATCAGGAGCACAGGGGAATGGACATACGAGAATGAGGTAATGTAGGATATTTTTTGAGGAAAGGAAAAAATAGGAGAAAGTAATGAGTTTGTTTAAACTAACTTCTTCGAGAGGGGGAGACAGAATGACGCCTCACATGAGCCTCGTGGTTGCGTTCAACAATCTCAATCGGAATATCTCGGCGCGGAGAAACCGACTCGTCTCCTCTCTGTTGGGGCGGATTCATAGAATGTTTGTCTAAAGGAGAAACAAAAGAGCAAATCCAATAAAAATCTAACACAAGAAAAATGCATACAATCGGAACACCGAAAAAAATGTTTGGGAAATTCCACGAAGGATAAAAAATTCACCTCAAGAAAATAGTAAAACCGGCGTTAAAAAGAACCTACTCGATTTGTATGATCAGGGTCGCATGTATACCAATAAAATTGCCAAAATGAGTACGAAAACTAATGTCTACGTGATCGTTCCCCGATAGGGTATCTCCAACAACATTGGGCAGTCCTGCCAAATAATGGGATGAATGAATGCGCAAAACGAAGCCACAAATTAAAGTATTTGTATGGTACATCTCTTTACATATGTTGTCACCATATTAAATGCCACCAACAGAAGTTACTAAAAGACCCAAAAAACAAAACAAAATATTCAGGCTCAGATAGGAACTAGTTCATCAAATTAATCGACTGTATGAAAATGGCGGCCAAAAGAAAATACAGAACTAAATTTTGGCTATTTAAGATTCTCAGAAAAAAACGGAATGAGACAATTACCTATGAAGCAACTACACCTTCCAAAAGGCCAAACCAATTTGCTTAATTTCAAAACAAAACGATGAGAGATAGAGATATGAAACGATAACAATGGGAAATTGGTCAATTGAGAGAACATTAAAAGTGCTGGGTTCTAATTTGCCGAAAGCGAATACAAACTTACAGGTGAGTTAAAGCATTTTATAAATAGAAACGAAAAATTATAAATAATAAAAGTAATATGAGAAGAAAATAAGAAACTAATTACTTGAGTTGCTAAGCGTTATACTTCCTTTAGACCTCATTTGAGCATCATTATCGTCAAAAGGGACTCGTCTTGCTCTTCTAATATCTACAACTAAAAATATGGAATAAAGAAAAAATTAAAGAAATTTACCAAAATTAAGTGCCCGTGGAGGTCTTTTCTTTTACCAATGGGTTTAGAATTTTTGTGCACTTTATTTGTTTAATCCACATTATTACCCAAAACAAAGTTGGCAGCTGATTCAATTAAAAGATTTAGCACAGATTTCGGACTTTTGGACTGATCGGTCAATGGGGACTTATAAATATATCAACCCAATTCCTGCCCTTGCGAGTCATCAACTTCCATTGCCGCATACTAAACACGCTATAAGATTTCATAATAAGCAATACCTTCTCAATCACAGCAAGCAAAGTCGGGGTAAACATTCTGGAATCCATACCATAAAATGTAAATCTTGAAAAACCTTAAGAAAAGAAAAACACGAATCACCTAACAAGCGCAATTACTGGACTTCGTAAGACGCGCACCTAGCAAGGTCTTGTATTCTAATTTTAACGAAACTCAGTTAAAGTGTAATAATAAAACTTTCATTAAGACTAAATATTTGAATATGAAAGTTGTTTATTTAATAAAAATAAACTAACTTTGCATAAATTATGCTATGCATTTGTGTCTCTATTCAAAACGGTTTAAATAATCTACAATAATTTGGCTGATGATATCTATCAAAACGCCTGCCATTTGAAATAAATAATTTAAATCTTCCTTTAGCATGTTTAGTTCACTTTTTTCATATTCTTTCGAACCATTTAATTTCTTCTTATTGTCGGTTGACTTATTTGCTAACTACGCTGTGGAACTTCATTTTGTCTGCTTAATTATTTTTAAATAACACATAGTACATCGACTTTATGGTAGATATTCAATTCTATGAATGTTTGTATTTATTGCAGTAAAATATAATTGTGACTTTAGGACATTTATAAAAAATATATTTGGCCCATCTATGTTTCTCCCCAAAGCTTGCACGGCCGAATGCAATATGGAATGGTTATTTAATTTTAACTGTCAAGTTCCTTTGCTTATGTATGCCTTTCATATGGACTCACATGGCTGTTATTCATTAGCCATAGATGTTATTTTTCAAAAGAATGTACACCACATCTAATATTTTGGCATTGTGATGGTAAAACTTGTTTGCTTTATTGCAAAATTCAGGCATTTATTGGTTTCGATGGATATGCATTATGCATGCTTCCCCTGCAAAGTCGTAGAACTCATTATGCCACATTTATTGGATGGCATAACAATTATAGCGCCCAAGATATAGATTTTATGAAGAGTCTGTTGAAGTGACTGAGAAATTATTAGGGTTGCTTTTAATAATTGCTATTTTGAGGTTTTATATATTTATTTTATTTTAAATAGTGGTAATCCATCATCTATCCCTGATTCCTCTAACTTCTATTGGTGTATGATCTGTTACTGATAAATTAAGACCAGTTTGTCAAGTCAAACGTAATTAATCCTATGGGAATTAGAAGCCATAATACTTCAGCTAACTTTTATTGTATGCAATTTTTATTAAATTGCATCCTTCAATATGAAGTGGTAGGTGAACTCAATTTTCACAAATTTAATTTTCAATTGAAAAAAAGTCACGTAACTTCGTCACGTTTAATTATTCCAGTGCCCGGTGCTTTTAATTTACACAAATCACTTTTATTGTTCAAAGTTCTTCGTAGTTAGACTGGACTCCCTCGACTATTACTATTATTATTTTTTAAAATAACCTAATTCCAGGTTTGCATTTGCCGTGCAAGTAAAATAAGCTAATATTAGAAATAACGTTAAACTTTACTTCTGCACGCAGCAATGATAAATTGTAAGATTCTATAATTATACAAAGGGGGTGTGCGATAGACTTACTTCCACGTAGTGCACCCTGGGCAACGTATATTCATACGACAAAAAAAGTCTATTAACCGGCATTTGTCTTCTGACTTCTAACTACCATGGCCCGATTGGTTGTCATATTCGACCCCTTCCACATTACTCATCTTACCTTTTTCTCTACCTTTGTGCCTGTCTGCCTCTTTTACATCTGTGAATCGCTCTTCTGTCCCCCACCCCTCGACTTTCTTCTAATTTGATGAACCTTCCCCCTGTGAAGCCCAAAGTCAGCTAAATGGCTAATGATAGCTAGCAAAACGCCTGCCATTTGAAATAAATAAATAAATAATTATACAAAGTGTTTTCCAACTTTCCTTCCTATGAATTTCTCTCTTATAAAAAATTGAACCGTGAATTCTATAAAATTCTAGGAATCCAACTATTCCGACTTCCAATCTGCACATTGGCTATCCAAATCATGCCTCCTAAATTTACCCAAGTTCTCCTCTATGATGAGCCTGAGTATTGGGAGGTGAGAGGGATGTAAATGGTAAGAATGATGCGAATATTTAGGTTTTGTGGTTTCTGTCTTAGCAAAAATTATTCTCCTAATATTAGAACATCCTTTGAATCTGGATAAGACTGACCAAGTGCCATCGAGTCTTCTTTATTTTATTAAGTCTGAAGAGAAGGAAACATGCAAATTGAGTTTTAGTTGTTTTCATACAGAAAGTGACTGCTTTCTATTTTGAGAATTTGGTCTAATTAATACCAACTTTGAGGCAAATGTAGACAATCTTGTTGACTTGTGAAGTACACAACGTTGCCACCTCTGGACAAAGTAACCTCATGCGCACTCAGACAGACTGGAAGGTACAGCCGAACAACTTCAAGGTAGTTAGTGGGAAGAACACACGGTCAACCGCCAATCATCAAATCCGTCATATTAATATGACGATGAAGCTCCCTGTCTGTACGCACACCACACATCCCAAATAAACGTGGCTCACGTGATACGCCTGTTTGCCCTAGAGTTTTGCGGTAGCTTAGCTAGCTCTGGGAGTCTTTCCAAACATAGGAGAACCTGCCATGGAGATTTCTGAGTACATTCAAAGCTTATTAGTGTAGCAATACGCAAAAAGGCTTAAATGTTTTCGATTTTATTATTTCTTTACTAGATTTTGTACTATATTTGATTTAGAAATATATTTGTTATTAAATATGCAGGAGCAAAGATTTTTATATACGAACTTTTCCCTTTAATAAAAATCCAAAAACTAAGATACTTATTAAAGAAATATTAGAGTTATTAATGGGCTCTGTTCGTTGAGGTCATGAAGTTGGAGGAATTTCTAATACTACTGCTAATGGGGGTGCACGATAGACTTACCTCCACATGATGCACCCTGGACAATGTATATTCATACGGCAAAAAGTCTATTACTCGGCATTAGATTTCAATTTATTATGATTAGCTTGAAACGAACCTATAAGAGAAATCGCCCTCGTCAGGGCGAATCACAACTTATACAGATCCTTCAATGGAATACCGGAGGGATGTCACAGGATAAAAAGATCAAAGTCCAGAAAATCTTACATACCTATGACATCGACATATGCCATCAATTAACTGCTATATATGTACCCCCCCCCCCCCCTCCCCCAACCATGGGGAAAGCTGAAGTCAACTAAGGGGCTAATGATAAATATCATAAAGCCTGCCATTTGAAATAGTAATAATAATGACATTATTGCTAATAAATTTGGTTGTCAACTGAAAGCTAACTTTCTTCCTTAGAATAAACAAAATTAAGTTATGTCAGACTGAATGTTTTCAAAATATTTAGAGAATGTTGTTAGATCGTCTTATGAATATGAATATTTCAAACATATAGTTTTATAGGCTTAAGATTTAGTTTAGTGGTTAGAATAAAATTTTTAGAGCCTTATTTAAAAACTTATTTATTTCAAATGGCAGGCTTTATGATATTTATCATTAGCCCTTAATCTTTGACTTCAGCTTCCCCCAAGGGGGAGGGGGGAACATTTTTAGCAGTTAATTAATAGCAGTTCATTAGCTGTCTTCTTACTTCCCAGTATCTTTGGCTTTCCGTCCTTGTCTTCAGAGCTGGACACCGAATCAGGTGGGTCTTCTCCATTTCCTCCTGTAGATTACATAGAGGACATGTGGGTTGAGTGTATACTCCCAATCTGTGAAGGTGTTTTGCCAAGCAATCGTGTCCGGTACGTAGTCTAAACTCAGCAACGGCTTCGATTCTTGGCCAGTCGGCTATGTCGGAGAGTACCACTGTCCACTGTTTCTCTTTTGTTCGAGCTTTAAGTTCGTTGCACCTTGAGGTATGGAATTCTCTCCTGATTAAGGCCTTCATTGTGTGGAAAGACATCGGCCGGTCCATGCATTGCAAAATCGTTGTCCCCTTCTTAGCAAGTGTGTCAGCAAGCTCATTGCCTTTAATGCCACAGTGACCAGGAATCCATTGTAGGACCACTGTTTTGTTTTTCTCTCTCAGCAGCTCATAGAGTTTTCTACATTCCTTTATCTCAGCTCTTTTGGGTGGCTCTCTGTTTCAAATTGAGTTTATTGCTGACTGTGAGTCCGAAAGTATCACCGCTTTGGTGAATTTCGTTTCCAGGCAGCATAATTGTCATAGTGCTATCCTAATGGTTTCTATTTCTCCGTCAATGGCGGATCTATTGTGTCCCGCTGGTGCGTAGAAAGAGAAGAGTTCAGAATAGACACCTGCACCAACGTTTGCTTGGTTTTCTATGTATGACCCATCAGTGGAGACTTGGAGCCATTGATCTGCAGGATAGTTGACATTGATTGTCTCAAGGGCCAGTGGGCGCATTTGTTCTGGAGGGGTGTTTGATTTCCTGAAGAAATCAAGCAGTTGGGTGCAACACACTACATCAGTGTCTGTTAATGGGTTCATGGGTAGAGAGAGGATTTTTGGTTTGTCATCTATTTGTAAGTCTTTCTTCAGTTCTATGGCTTTCTGTATTAGACCAGATTGTGTTTTCCGGTATCTTGGTCTATTTTCATAGGCGTTGAAGAATTGATCCGTGGGAATGCACAGTACCTTCTCATATAGGATCAACGCATTCTCTTTGATAAGGGAACATATAGTGGTGTTCCCTGTAACCAGGAGCATTGCATCAATGGGTGTCTTCTATCTTCTGTAACCAGGAGCATTGCATCAATGGGTGTCGATTTTATCCCTCCAGTAATTAGTCGTAATGCTTGGTTGTATGCCTTCTCGAGTGGTTTGAGAGTCACCTCTGTGGCTGTAATGAGTGCATTAAGTTCGCAAGGTCTGAATGGTTCAGTGAGTACATTATTTGGTGTTGTTGTGTCTTCCTTAATTCCATCAAACTATCTTACTTGTATCTCTAAATCTCTTGAAGATTTTCTAGCAAAAGGGTTTTCATTTTGCTCGTGGGAATAGAACCTCTCTAAGAAGTTAGCTATTTCGGAGTCAATGGTAAGCAGTTTTTTAATTAAGCGTATTGGTTCTTTCTTGGGTCTTTCCCTGTTGTTTTGGAGGTT